AAACAGTCAAAAAGCAACCAAAGAAAACAAAACAACAAAAAACCAATGTCAAAAAAATGAAAAGCCTGTTAATATTTCAAGGTCTGTTTGTTGACCTTTAGGAGTGTTTTCCATTCGAATCTGATGGGGTGCCATGCCCTGGCCTCAAAGTCTGTTTTTGGTATTTCCTTTAGACTTCCTTGCTCTGCTCCCCTTGCTATTCTGTTGCACACCCTTAGTGTTTTGCCTTGATGTTGTGGGGTTGGATTCTATTGGCCAGAATTTTGTTGAAAATTTTTGCATCTACGTTCATGAGAGCTAGAGGTCTGTAGTTTTCTGTCTTTGTAGACTCTTTGCCTAGTTTTGGTATCAGAGTTATTCTTACTTCATTGAATGAGTTTGGGAGTTTGCGGACCCTTTCAATATTCTAGAATAATCTGTATAGAATTGGTGACAGGGCTTCCATCAATACTTGTTAGAATTACCCCGTGAAACCATGTAGTCCTGTGTTTTTCTTTGTTGGAAGATTCTTGATAATCTTCTAGATTTCTTAATTTGCTATAGATCTGTGCAGGTTTTGTACATCTGTTTGCATTAATTTGGGTAGACGGTGTATTTCTAGGCATTTATCCATAGATTATCAAACTTGTTGGACTACAGTCTTTGAAGTGCTGTGTGATCTGGTCCTTTTTCATCTGTAATTCTAGATATTTACATCTTATCTTTTCCCCACCTTTGTTCTGTGTGCCAGTGGTTTGTCAATTTTGTCAATCATTTCAAAGAACCAGTTTCTTGTCTTGTTGATTTTTCAGTTTTCCTGTTTGTTTGTTTCTGCTCTAATCATTACGATTGGTTTTCTTCTGTTGTTGGAAGGTTTACGTGTTGCACAGTTCTCGGTGTTGGAGCTGTTGGTATCTTCTTTTCTCATGTATGTTTGCTATAAATTGCTCTCTGAGAACTGCCTTGGCAGTGTCCTGAATGTTTTACTATGTTGTTTTATCATTCTCATTCCTTTCAAGGAATTTCTTCATTTCATCGCTTATTTGATCGATTACCCATTCACTTTTAAGTAGTATGTTGTTCAGTGTCCCTATGTTTTTCTTTAGGTTCCTGTTATTTCTATTGTTGATCAGGATTACAGTGTCGTTCTCTGAAAAAATGGGCGTAGGATCCCAATGTTTTTTAATTTGTTGAAGTTTTTTTTGTGACCTAACGTGATATATTCTAGAAAATATCCTGTGTATACTGTAGAACACGGTATACTGTGCTGTTATCAGTTGGAGTGCTTTGTATACATTGAAGAGGTTGAAATGGCTGATTGTGTTGTTGAGCAATTTTTTTTCTTTATTGAGTTTCTTTCCTGATGACCTGTCTTTCCTTGATGGGTGTCGTTTGAACATCCTACTATTGACTGCTTGTTTTAAATTCTGTGAGAATCTGGCATGCATTTTGAGGGTCTTTCATCAGTGTGTCTATGTTTATTAAGGTTATATGTTCCTGGTTAATTGTTCCTTTAGCCATTATACTAAAGTCTTCATTCTTTTTCCCTTTCAATTTGTTTACTCTTTTTTTCCCCTTTCAATTTGTTTGTCCATTCTTGTCTTCAATTATGCTAATAACTTTGAATTCTATTTTATCAGAGATTAATATCTTCACTACTGCCTTTTTATACTTGTTGGCTTGGTAGAATTTTTCATCATCCTTTTATTTTTAGTCAATTTTTGAGTTTTAAGGTGTTTTTTGTGGGCAGCATATAGGTGGGTCTTGATTTTTTCTAATCTAGTATCTAATCCATACTTTTCTTTGTATTTTGATGGGTGCATTTAATCAATTGATATTCAGAGTCATTATTGATATATGTGGGTTTGTTGCTGTCATTTTCCTGTGTTGTATTTGGTTTCTTTTCTTACGGTGTGTGCGTATGTGTGTGTGGTTTTAATGGGATATCACTGTTGATGCCAAGTGGATTTTGACTGAAAGCAGAGAATACCAGAAAGACGTTCACTTGTGTTTCATTGGCTATTCCAAGGCATTTGACTGTGTGGATCATAACCAAATATGGATAGGCTTGAGAAGAATGGGAATTTCAGAACACTTCATTGTGCTCATGCAGAACTTGGATCTCATGTACACAGATCAAAAGGCAGCTGTATGAAGGGAAAAATTCATGGTTTAAAATCAGGAAATGTATGTTGCAAGGTTGTATCTTGTCACCATAATCATTCAAACTGTATGCTGAGCAAAGAACAGCGAAGCTGACTTATATGAAGGTGAATGAGGAAGCGAGATTGGGAGAAGGCTTCTCAGCAACCGTGACACACAGATGACAAGACTTTGCTTGCTGAAAGTGAGAAGGACTGGAAGCGCATGCTGATGAAGATCAAGTATTGCAGCCTTCATTACGGATTATGACTTAATGTCAAGAAAATCCTTATACTTGGATTAATAGGTAACAGCATGGTACATGGAGAAAAGTTTGAAGTTGTCAAGGATTTTGTCTTGGTTTGATCCACAATCAGTGCTCATGGAAGCACAGTCAAGAGATCAAAAGATGAGTTACATTAAGTAAATCTGCTACACAAGACCTCTATAGAGTAATGAAAGTCAAGAATGTTACTTTGAGGACTAGGGTGCATGTGACGCAATCGATAGTATTTTCAATTGTCTCATACATACGTGAAAATTGCATATTGAATAGGGAATACTGAAGAAGAATCTATGCAATTGGACTGTGGTGCTGGAGAAGCATATTGAACATACCATGGACTGCTAAAAGGACAAACTGATCAATATTCAAAGAAAGCCAGAGTGCTTCTTAGAGGCAAGGATGGAGGACGTTCACCTGACATGCTTTGGACATGTTTTCAGGAGAGACTGGTCCCTGAAGAAGGGACATTGTGTTTCATAGAGGGTCAGCGAAAAATGGAAGGCCCTCAAGGAGATGGATTGATACAATGGTTACAACAATAGGCTTAAGTATAGGAACACTTCTGATGCTCACCCAGGACCAGGTAACGGATTATTCTGTTGTGAATAGGGTCACTATCAGTTGGAACTGACTAGATGGCAATTAACAATAGCAACAACATTGGTGTCTTTGTTCCTCTTCAATGTCCATGTTCTTGGGTGTGCTTCTTGCATTGTGTTGCTTTATGGATGGTGTTGTGCAGTGTGAGCACTCAGGTTTGTGTGTTGGTGTTGTTGAATCTCTGCCCCTAGTGATCTGGTTGATGGTTTTTGTAATACTGGCCTTGGTTTTACAAAAATCTTTATTTTTTTTCTTGTCTGGAAAGATCTATATTTATCCTTGGTATTTGACGGATAATTTTGTTGATGTTGGATTCTTGGTATTCTCTGCTTTCAGTCAAGATCCATCTGATATCAGCAATGATATACCTTGTCCCACATCCTCTTCTGAATCTGGCCAGGACCTCTGGTGACTCCCTGGCAATGTACTGCTACAATCATTGTTGGATGCTCTTAAGCAAAATTTTACTGGCATGTGATACAGTGATATTGTTCTATAGTTTGGGCATGGTGTTGGGTCCCTTTTCTTTGGAGTGGGTATAAATATGGATCTCTTTCTGTCAGTTGGCCAAGTACCTGTCTTTAAAATTTCCTGGCATAAACAAGTGAGTGCTTCTAGTGCTTCATTGGGTTGCTGAACTATTTCAATTGGATTTCCATCAATTCCTGGACCCTTGTTCTTGGCTAATGTTTTCCATGCAGCTTGGATGCCTATTTAAGTACCATTGGTTCTTTTTTTTTCTTTCCATTGGTTCTTGCTTATATGCTACCTCTTGAAATTGTTGAATGTCAACCAGTGTTTTTTGGCCCAGTGCCCCTATATATACATTGTTTACAGAGTCATATCAATAAATATGAAGGAATAAAACTTGATGAGTTGATACCCATTAAATTCATGAGAGTGATGCCTTCTAGGGAGACAGGAGGAGAATGAGATTTGGCATTAGAGGAGGCCACAGGGTGTACCACCTTTTCATTCCACAGGGAACGTTTTGATGCAACCACATCAAAATCTCAGCAATCAACGGTCAATTGGGGACCACTGTGAACATAAACCCTCAACCAAACCCTTTGCCATTGAGTTGATTCCAGCTCATAATGACCCTATAGGACTGGATAAAATTGCTCCATAGGGTTTTCAATGCTACAATCTTTAGGGAGCAGACTGCCACATATATCTCCTATATAGCAGCTGGTGGGTTCAATTTGCTAATCTTTCAGTTAACAACCTAGCATTTAGCAGCTATACCATGAGGGCTCCCTTATAGGCTTATACATTATGCTCTCCCAGTTTTCAGTTTTCATTATAAAAAATTATTCTGTGACTCCATATTGTAATTATGAAATAAATTGGCTGTGTTTTATGCAAAAGGAAGGTATAATTGTCTTTGGTATTGATATGGATGTGTGTGGGTGGGTGTGCATCTATACACATACATACGGTCAAATTAAAATATAATCATTGAAAATTATTCACTATTTTGAGCTTTGTAGTATTTAAGGCAATATCACCAGGTGGGCAAATCATTATAAGCGTGGCACATAAAATTACTAAAATCAACATTTGAGTCCCCAAAGGTCCCCAGCAATTTCCTTCTGCAACCATGGAAAATGAATGTTAAGGAGAAAATGCCTAGAGCAATTTGTTTTTAAGTTTTTTTATGAGCCCCATAAGAATATCAACTCACAGAAATAACAGAATGAGAGTCTCTTCCCCCAGCATGCTGAGTATAATAAACTCAACCACGATGACTCATGATGAGAAGAGACGCAGACCCACAGCAGAGTGATCCGTCCTGTACTCACCGGGCAGGTAGCTGCACAGTCTCTCCATGGCAGCCTGGGCTGTCGAGTTGTGGACCTGGGCAAGCTGCTCAATCACAGACACCACCAGCACACACCCTGCACAAGAAGCGAAGGCCATGTCAA